TTACTGAGAACACGCCTGTAGACAATTCAAGAACTCTTGAAGACGAGCTGTTATTCAAACTTAAATTATCTTGCAGTTTTCATTTCTTTTTTTTTTTCTTTTTTTTTGGAAATTTATAAAGCAGGCAATAACATGTGCACCATGAAATATGCAAATTCGTGTTTCTAATTTATGGATGATGGTTCAAAACGCTCCTCGTCATAATTTCTTTTGGTCTGGTGCTAATCGAATAGATAATGCGTCCACCTAAAGAGTTTTCCAAACTTATATTTTACGGCATGGGTGAATAAAGTAGCAGCGTAATGACTCGTCGTTTTGCTTTGTTAACTTCAGTTTTATCATCATCATCATCAAGATTACTGAACAATTCTATACATACGTGTGTTGTGAAGCGATTATTCGCTTTAACGTTCCATGTAGAATACGGTACTTGAGTTCGGTTCCCTAGTGGACATTGGGATGATGGTTTAAAATGAAGTATTTCCGTCTGTCTTTAGGTAAGTTCTATCTTTCGGCCCGAGCTGAACTTGGCAGGCAGGTTCCAAACAGCCCGCTTCCTGATCGATCTGAATTGTGTCCATAAGGGTGGCTCAATAGTCTTGTGGTAATTGGGAGGTGACTGGTTCGGTACACGTATTTTCCTCACTTCACTCAGGTGGGAATGGGTACCCGGTCATAGACAGGGAAAGCTCTTGTCCTGTCAGTATGTTAGTTTTTTAGTGCCAATAGACTACAGCTAGCACTGTATGCTTCCCAGGAATTTGAGATTGCTTCAGAATGCTATCAGCTCTGCTTGGGTAATAATATTATTGATTGTAAAGCGCACAGAGATTGCTGTTGAGTGGGAATTTGCGTAATACAATTACTATATATTATCATTGCAACATCGACAATTACAACTTTATTTAAAAAATATTCTGTAACACTTTCCAACAGGTCCATCCTTGAGATGTAAGCCTGACAAGAAACCTCTGAACATCCCTTACTATTTTTCTCTCTAATTTATATAATAAACGCCTCTTAAAATAACTTGACAGTGTTGAAAGGGCCGTAAAAACTATACGATTTCCTCAATTTCCAGATGTAAGGACGAGAACTCCAACTCAACAGTAGACAGGACGTGCCAGAGTGACGGACTTTGGTCACCAGCGCTTTTTGCTTGCTTTGGTATGTAAAGAAGAGTACTACACCCTTGGGAGGTGCTACTGACCAAATTGTCTTTAGGCCATTCCCAAATGGCGGACATTAATATGTTGTTATGCTCAGTAGAATTTTAAATCGGCTGATTCATCAATGTCATGCTTATAACTGTGCCTGAACTTCAACTGGGAACTGCTGCTTTTTCTTTTCTAATCCTTACTATCGTCATTTTCCCTCTACTTCTTTTGTATGTTTGTCACATTCTTTTGCCCAGCTATTTCCGAGGTGCCTTGATAGTCGAAGTAGACTTTGTGCTGTTGAAGCTAGAGAGGTGAGCAGAGTAAGCCTGATTTCCTGTATGGACTTCTCTATTGACATCCACCCCTTGGAGCTCATATGACTTTATGCAGTTACGATCGCCGTAAAAACTCTACTAAAACTTTAAAAAAATAAAAGCACTGTTCTTCACGTACATGTACTTTTGTCCTTAGCCATAAGTCCCCCCCCCCCTGTCCAACTGCATCCCATCTCTTTCAGGTACCTAATATAAAACGTCCTCCTCATCATCATCATCATCATCATCATCATCATCATCATCATCATCATCATCATCATCATCATTATCATCATCATCATCATCATCATCATCATCATCATCATCATTATCACTATCATCATCCTCCTCCTCCTCCTCCTCCTCATCCTCCTCCTCGTCATCATCATCATCATCATCATCATCATCCTCATCTTCCTCCTCCTCCTCCTCCTCCTCCTCCTCCTCCTCCTCCTCCTCCTCCTCCTCCTCCTCCTCATCATCATCATCATCATCATCATCATCATCATCATCATCATCATCATCATCATCACCATCATCATCAAGTGCCACATCTGTGACAGACATGGTTCTCCGTTCATTTCTTTGCTCCGATTCTCTCAAAACAAACCAAATCACCCTGGTATATCCCCAAACCTATCTGTTGTGCAGGTTTTCGGTTGAGTTGCTCTGGCTCTACTCCTGCCTCGCTTGCTATCAAGTTTATCTGGTCCCTAAGTCGATACTGAGTATTACACCTGTTTTGTTTTAAATTTTCCTTAAAGAATGTGGCCAGGCCTTCGACTTTACCAGTGAGAGATAGATGTTCACGCGATACCTAGTGTTACAACTATTTTGTTTTTCATGTTCCTTATAGAGTGTGATCAGGGCTGGACCCTGTTCCAGGGCAGGTGTTACAAACACTATGACGAGCCACACAAATACCCCGAGGCAGAGAGTACGTGCGCAGAGCATGGAGCCTATCTGGCAATAGCAAGAGATGAAGTCACCAACAACTTTCTGGGCACTCTCAGGTAAGCATTTAGACAACAGGTTGGAACAAGACTACACCTTCTTGTTTCTGCTCTTCTTTTTGTTCTTGTTCTTCTTTATGTTCTTGTTCTTGTTCTTGTTCTTGTTCTTGTTCTTGTTCTTGTTCTTGTTCTTCTTGATGTTCTTGTTCTTGTTCTTCTTGATGTTCTTGTTCTTTTTCTTGTTAAAAAAACATAACAGAAACAGAGATCAGCAACGATAGTTTGCTATTTATTTCTCTGCTCGAATGCTCTTCAAAAATCTCTAATTTATCATCGTGGTCTTTTTCTGCCCCCTGCCTATTCAAGCTCTCAAAGTGTTTCCATGTAAGACTTGGCCTACCTGTTGGGGTAGTTTTCCACATAGCAAAATGTAGATCCAAACATGGCTGCACATTTCTAAGTAATTTTTTTACTCGCGATCTATTTATTGATTGTGTTCGTTTCGCCTTGATTGTATCCCCAGACACTTTGACTTAGGCGCGTACTTGGGTGCTCAGAGTCAGCAGTTGAAAGACGACTGGTTTTGGGCAGACGGATCGAATTTGACCTGGACCAACTGGAGAACGGGTATGAGCTTTGGTCATAATATTATGTTTCTTCACACGCAAATATTTCTCCATTCACAAGTCCTGATATTTCTCAATACACAAGTACTAATGTTTCACCATATTCAAGTACCAAATATTTCTTCACTAGTATTTCTCCATACACAAGTCCTAATAGGTCCACACACAAGTTCTAATGTTTCACCACATTCAAGTACCAAATATTTCTTCACTAGTATTTCTCCATGCACAAGTCCTAATAGGTCCACACACAAGTTCTAATGTTTCACCACATTCAAGTCCTAATGTTTCTCCAAGTACAAGTCCTACTATTTCTGCATACACATGTTTTATTCTTTATGCGCACAACCTGGTGTCATCCATTGTCTTTCTTCTCCACAACATGTCAAACGTTAACCAAAACAGTCCTCTGGCAATTTTTTCTTTCTTTTTTCTTTTTTTTTTTTTTTTAGTTAGGTGACTAACATTGTATGACTGAAGTCGCAGTTGGAATATGTTGCACCCACATCGATACAGTGTAGATCTTTTAGGCTAGGAAAGATCTACAACTAGCCTTCTCGGATAAGGGCGAAAAATCTCGGAGGTTCCGAATGCAAATGGCGCAGGTTAAAGATCCCGTGGTGGTCCAAATCGATAAGAGTTGAAGATGTTTTAATCCTCTTAAAAATCGATATGAATAAGCTTCGGCCGCCACCCAGGCAAATTCAAATTAATTCTTTCCTAACTGAAAATGCTTTATGTGTCCAGCGGGCTCATAATATGACTTTATACAGTTGCATGCGCCATAAAACATTTACCAAAACAAACAATATAGGGCTTCACAAATGGCTACCTCTGTTTGACATTTCTTGTCGTTTTGAGTTACTTAGACCTTGAGATCAAAAATCAAATGTTCTATCTCGTCTATCAAAATCATACGATTTTTCAGTCATTATCAATATATTCAAGGCTATTGCATTCACAAAATAATCTTAACATGATGTGAAATTCATAATATCTTACGTCAAATTTCGCAAAACTAGGTAGTAGGCAGATAGAACTTTGTAATTCTGAGGTAGCGAAATCTACAAGCAAGCTTTATTCTTCTTATTTTCACACCGTTTACCAAATGTCCACTCTGATACATGTAATAATATTATTCTTGTGCTGTCTTGTGCAGGCTTCCCGTCCTTGAAGAACGGCATTTGGCGATGTTTGAAGCTCCAGCCAGATGGTCAGTGGACGGACAGAGCCTGCAGATTCCACCTCGAGAGATTCATCTGTGAGAAAAACTCTTACGGTAAGCTCTCATCTCTGGAGTAGTATTTTTCGGGGGTGGGGGTGGGGAGGTGAGGACTACAGTAAAACACAACCCCTCTGCACACACACACACGAATATATACATACTCTCATATTATGCGTGAAATCACAGATTAAATTCGTTGACACACACACGCGCTAGCGCGCATATAGATACAGGCAGACAGACAGACACTCAGAGACACACCCACACCCACACCAACACACTAACACACACACACACACACACACACACACACACACACACACACACACACACACGCACACATGTACACACATTCACTCACACACACATGCCCACGCACTCACTTCCTCACTCACTCACTCACAGCACAAAACCTCTCTACCCTCTGTTCGTGGGCTAACATGTATAACTACTATTCCAGTATCAACTCATAAGTTAAACTGGACACTGTTCACTAGCTCAAGCAACTGGAAATGCTGTAGGCTAACCTTTACTTTTATCTAGAATTGTTTCTCGGCACATTCTCTATTTTTTTAAAAAATATATTAATCAGATCATGACAATATGTGAGCCGTGATTTATTGTCAATACGCGAAACGTTGACTCCTTACTTGAGTTAATCACATTTTTTTTTAGCATTATGTCTTAGATAGCTTTCATTTTTTAAACGATAGTGATAAGAAAAAAGGCAAGGTAAGTCGATACTTAGAAAAGGTCCGCTGCTTTTTCTGCCGCTGTCCCCTCTTCTTTACCTCGGTCTATTCCTGCTCCAGGTGCTTCCGGGCGGAACATTATTTATTTTTTCTTTATCCATTCATTCATTCATTCCTTCCTTCATTTGTTTATTTATTTATTTGTCAAATGTATCTATTTGTCTATTTACCCATCTATCTATCTATTTATCTATTCATTTGTTAAATTTTATTTATATTTGTTTTTTCTGTACTTGTTTTAGAAATCTTACGTTAGGAAGTACCCAAAATTGAATTGAAAAAAATATACCCAACTCCATGTTGATTTGACGGAGCTTTAGTTGTCAAAATTCCGAGCGAAATAGAACCTGCCTCGTCTAGCTGTATTGATGACGTCAGACGATGACGTCAAGGCCTCTAGCCCCCCCCCCCCCCCCCCCCCCCCCACCCTCTTTTTTTAACTTCCCTTTTTGGGAACCTTTTCCTCACAATATAATCAATACAGTCAATTCACGTTCAACAACAGCAGACAATGAGGCCTTCTTCTTGTGTTGAAAGAGGGTAAAGAACAAAATACACCTTTGCTGTAGTTCTTCTTACTGTGCATGTATCCAAACCTCCGCCGGTTGATCTGACAGAAATAGTATTTAATTTATAATTTAAAAGAATTTGAAAAACAAAACAAAGAATCTTTAAATAAAAATCATAACTGGATGGCTTTAAAACGGAACTGTGGTCTCAATAAATTATCTAAACTTGGTAGTATCTATATTATAGGGGCGTCCAAAAGAAACTTGAAAATGTAATCACCCAATCATCGTGTTAAAGGCTTACCCTACACGCTCATGTAGGATACCAATTATTTAAAACTGAATGAATTCTGCATTATCTGACACAATAACATTTCATCAATGTTAAGGCAATGTTATGTCTTGTCAAGCCAGATTTTTTAAAGGTCACTTTTGAGTGAACATATCTCGGGTGCCTCGTAACATGAATGAAATATATATGTTATTTTTACACACACACACATTCACACACACACACATACACACACACACACAGACACACACACACACACAAGAACACACACACACACACACACACACACACACACACACAGAGTTACTCATTCACGCACACATACACAAGCACACACTGTTTGGCTGTATATTTGTTGTTTTTCTTCATCTGTCTCTAAACTACCACACGGTGACTTAAGCCCTTTATGTTCCCGACCCGTGCAATTGATTTATAAGTTATGAAATCTGAAGCATCACACGCAGATCGGTACCTCAGCATTACAAAGTACTATCTGCTCAGAACCTAGTTTCGGGAAATTTGACGTCAAATGTATTGGGTTTCACATTATATCAAGCTTATTCAAATGCAATTCTTTGAATATCTTGATAACCACTCCGAACAGTCTTTCGATTTTCATAGAGCAGATAGGACTTAATTTGGTTTCTGAATCTGACCTCACGGTCTTAGGAACTGAAAACGGCCAAATATGTCATATAATGTAGAACTTTATAACTCTGAGGTAGCGAGATGTAGATCTTTTGTCCAATGGACCGTTCTGGTGTTCTATTTCAGACATTCAGAATCGACCATGTGCTGATTCTCTGGCCACCTGTAAACAACTTCTTGCTGCTCAACCCGACATGTGCAAAAATTTCTCAGACTTTTCAGCAAGAAGCTGTGCACGAAGCTGTGACCTTTGCAATGGTTCTGCAGGTGAGATTGTGTCATGTGTATGTGTGTCAGAGAAAAAATGTGTGTGTATTTGTGTGTGTTTGTGTGTATGTGTATGTGTGTGTGTTTGTAGGTATGTGTATGAATGTATGTATGTGTGTGTATGTGTGCGTGTGTATGTGTGTGTGTGTATATTTGTGTGTGTATATTTGTGTAAAAGAGACAGTGTGAGAGAATGACAGTGAATTTGCGTGTATAGATAATTATGTGCCAGAGGGGTATCTTGTAAGAATCCAAATTTCTTCGCTTCATTTAGCTGTATCTAAATCTATCTAGAACTGTATCAGAGTTGCACGAGCACTTAACGATAGCGGAACTTGTGTTTTGCCCACCATGTGTGTGTTATGGTGCACATCAGCACAGAGAAGATTTTTTGTTTGTTTTGATTCCACCTAGTCGTTACACATATTTTTGTTTCCAGGTTGTGAGCTTACAGACCCTACAGAAAACGCGGAATTTGTCCACAAGTCGTACCAGCGACGAGAACGTGTCCCAGAGGGCACCGAGCTCTTCTTCGCCTGCAAGGGTGACATGGTGCGCAAATCTGGTGACGCGGTGCGCATTTGCCGGGAGGGATTGTTGTCCGGTGCAGACCTGGTATGTCAGGACAAAACAGGTATATCTGTGGCCACCAGACCCCCTTTGCCTGGAATGTCAACGCTACTTTCAACGGTCGTTGCCTGTTTTACTTTCCGTTCGTTTGGTGCTTGGACGTGAACTTTTGGATGAGGGTTTCAAGTTTTGTTGTATTTCATTTCCTATATCATTTCTTTGCTTTGTTATGCAATGTTTCAGTCAACACTCCATTCCAATGTTATTGTTTATCTAATTTTGATAGGGATTGTGACAGGCAGGTGCTTTTGTGCGCTAGATTTACAAGTTTTCATAAGGTGATTGTTAATGGGAATGCTGTTTTTTCGACCTCGTTCGATGTTCTTTCTTCAATGACGACGACAGTAGTTATTTTGTGTGAGCGAGAGGTGAATGAGGTGCAGGCGGAAAAAGACATTATACGTCTTCACAATTTCGTTAACAGTTTAGTTGACGATATCTTTGTCACTTGTGATTTCTTTGCTTAGTTTGTCTTTAAAAAACCCGGCCTGTCTATGAAAGCAGGACACCTGACAAATTGGTGACTAATTCCTGACCTGGATGTCTCTGATTATTGTCAGAACAAAAAAGAATACCCTTGTGGTCGTACTTAAAAAATCGAACATTCTTGACAAGCCTGTATGGAAAATTTGAGAATACGAGTCGGTTAAGAAAACGTTATTTGTATTGTAACATAATATATAACATAATATAAAAACGTACTATTATATAATAGTACATCGTGCACAATCTATAATAAGACAACTATCTATACATTTCGTTATGAAGTTACCGAATTTGGAAAAATAATCACATTTATTTTGCCTATTTTGTTGTATTTTAAAATCGTTAAAATTGTCAGTTGCATAACATTGTTGTTTAAAAGAAAGATAAAAAAACCGTTTACAACAGAGAAATAAAAAGCAGTTGGAATGTTTAACTTATAAAACTGCACGGACTTTTTATAACGGAGACTGCACGACTCTTTTGCTCTGTTAAAATTTATACTTTGCAGCCAGTCTTTATTTGATCTGCTCGTATTGCATTGATTTTAGATTGCACTGTTTATTCAGTTACCTTTTATTTTTAAAACAAAAGTCGATTTCTATTTATATAATACGAAGATTAATATCACATAAAACTCATTGTTTGATTTATAGTAACAATAGCATTACTGCCAGTTTTATCCATTATACAGTTTTGAAAAAAAAACAACAACCATTTATTCTTTTGCTTGTCGGTGTCTGCAATATTTTTCATGTTTCCAAATCTGTCTCATACCACTGGTTAAAATCAGCTGATGTTCATGTTTTCTTTTACATCAAATCAAACACCTAAAAGTGATATTATTGCAATAATATTATGGAGTATGATTCTTTAATGTGCCTGACTATTTACATGTCTTTTCACAACGATAAAGAGATAGGAACGCGGTACAAGCCGTTTTGTTACTTTACAAATACAAAGTTCTATCTGACATTCTTGGCTGTTTTGAGTTACTAAGACCATGAGGTCAGAAACCAAATGCTCTATCTTCTCTATCAAGATCGTAGTCGTTATCAAGATATTCGACGCATTGCATTTGAAAAAGATTGCCATGCTGTTGAACTCAATTTTTTTTATAGTTATGTCAAATTTCTCAAAGCTAGGTGCTAAGCAGATTGAACTTTGTATTTCTAATGTAGCGTTCTGTTTTAACTCTTTTCTCTGCCTGGCTCGAGAATGTAGCTTCTCTTTACTCAACTCAAACTCAAACTCAAACTAGTTTGTATGTATCTTTAACTTCATTTCAGTTTCTGCTGTGGTTTCTTTTTCTCTCTCGCATGGTGTTCTTTTTCGTGTTTTATTTTTATACTGCCGGTTAAAAGGTTTGATGGAGCTTGTTGGCTATATTTACGGGGTTTTTTTTTTCGGTATTTCTTATGAGCTCTCGAGTGGCGGCGCACGCTTGACAGGACGTTCTAAGAGTGTTGATGTTATGGTTAAAATCAAACTGGAAATCAAAATCAAACTTGACAAGAATATCTTGTTCATTATTATTATTATTATTATTATTATTATTATTATTATTATTATTATTATTATTATTATTATTATTATTATTTTATTATTATTATCATGTCTGTATATGATACCAGCCTGGAAAAATGGGGAAAACACCATACAATTGTTGGTTGTTGGAGTTCAGGTTAAATCAAGTATTCCTTTGTGAAGAGTATTGTCTTGTGTATTTTTTTAACCGTGATGTTTGTATATGTGGAATATAGAATAATACATATCGTATCATATCTATCTATCTATCTATCTATCTATCTATCTATCTATCTATCTATCTATCTATCTATCTATCTATCTATCTATCTATCTATCTATCTATCTATCTATATATACA